CAGACAACCCCGTAACAATATGCGTTTTGTACTGCTGTTACACAGCACAAAACGCATAATAACTTCTCGCATGGTCGCATCGGTGTTCCAGTGCTGTTCACTCTCTTTGCTTCAGGAAACACGTGATGAGTTGTTTGATTCTCGTCGTTTTCTTCAAGTTCGCTGTTTAGATAAATGGTACTAATGTGCGAGGTGCGCGTCACGATCAGGCGGTGGCACTGCTTACGGGGCATCGAGGCAGTGATGTTTATTTGGTTGTGCAACGTGATCGTACCTCTTCAAGTTTACCCGTTGCACCATCCTCATCGAGGTTCCATTTCATTAAAAATTTTTCACCGCACTGATGCAGCGAAAGAAAGTGCTGTGACAAACTGTAGCTAAATTTGAGCCTTCGAATTTAGTTTTTCATTCAGCTAGAGCTACATTTACAACGGTTTGTGATGAAAGAGAGGCGTATTGGCGCAATAACTGAATTAATAATAAGAACAAATATGGCAGTTGTACCAGTTTTTTGATGAGAAACCTCCAGAGGTTTTTTGGGGATACTCGGAAAGGTTGCAACAACGAATTTACATTATTGCTCCATCTACTAAAAAGTTCCTAGCCTGCTTTTGCATTTTGTTGCTGGCAACTTTTCCAGTTGCTTTGATCACTTGTACATCTCCCTATGAGCAGACTTTTGACCATTCTGGCATTCATTTTGTCTTCTGAGAGAATTACGCGCAGGCAGTTACCACAACAAAGAATATTTCAAAGTCTTGTTGAAATGTCCTTTCTTTACATGTCTGTTTGAGAGATTGGTAACAAGAAGTTCAGATTCATAGCGGTGTGAGATGAAAAAAGCGTCTTGGGGAGATAACGAAGTGGATGGCCAGGTAGCGAATAAAATTAGTTCCTCCTAGTGTCCAGTGCTTTGAGTAGAAGGGTTTTAGTCGAAAACATTTTTCAGCTCGCACAAAAATGGTTTTTTACAATAATTTTTTGGTTTCTTTTGTGCATTATTTTTTCCCAGCTTGTCATCAACGAAGACGCATACCGTAGTTGTTGATAACGCTGCGCAACAAAGGACATATGGCTTTGGTGATACATGTTGGGATGGCAAAACGGAAGTAAGTGCATACCCCTGTTATTCAAAATGTTATTTGTGGCTAGTTTTTGTCTGGTTTATTTCTGAAATCTGGTCAGCACTTGCTGTTATTTGGTGAACTTGAAGAGTTTGGTATAGGTGCGGGTGGCCTGTAGATGCATTCCAACAGCATCATTACCTTGAGTTCACCGTAACAACTGTGCCGACGAAGTTGATGTTCTTGTTATTTTTTGATTAGACTCCCAAAATTGACGCTTTGTAAAACTTTTTGTTTTCCAAGTTTATTTAAGAAAGCAGTAATTTTAGGAGGTTGAACTAACGCGTGAGAACAATTCGTTAGGCCTTTCAATAGTTGGTGGTAGCGATCACTCGTCACATCCGTTCGGCATAAACGCGCCTGGCGTATTCATCTCAAAAATTACACCCAATTCACCAGCTGGCCGCTCACAAAGGCTACGTATTGGTGATCGGATCTTGTCAGTTAACAATATCAACATTCGAAATGCCAAGCATCAAGCCGCTGTTGAGGTTAATTTCTGTAGTACCTGTACTGAACGTTGAGAGAATTACGTTCACGAGTTTGATTAGCTGAAGTTGTTAGTGCTTTTTTTGTATGAGTGAGAACAGCCTGCTGTGGGAACTGCTTACAGAATTTTATCATCTCAATCGTTTTTAATGCCTCCGTCTGTCATGTAATGGTTGGGCAAGGTGAGGGCGAACTTTCGGTTTGATAGGTGGTGATCCGCGCGTTTATAAATACGGGATTTTAGGCACTGAAACAAAGCGAAAAAGTGGTACGTCTGCGTGTGATTCACGAGCCTCAACCGCCAGGTCTAAGAGAAGTTTCAATTCGGCGAAATTCTGGAGAAGCACTGGGACTGAATATTTGTGGTGGTATCGGTAGTCCACCAGCGAATCCTCTCGACAAAACCGATGAGGGTATTTTCATCGAAAAGGTTTGTTATCAACCGATTGTTTGCGCCAAAATCTGGGACATGAGG